AGTGCGTTTCCTGGAGCTGTAACTTTGAGGGTAATTCTGATGTCAGTTTCAACCCCAACATCCAGTTCATGTCTCTCTGTATCCTCTGTATCCGAATCCTGTTCTGAATAGCTTGTTAAAGACTTTTTGTTGTTTTGAAATCTTCATAACTGCCAAGGGCAAAATAAATGACATTCATTAAAATAATTATAACTATAGCAGCTCGGGAAGAATCTTGAAGCCGATTAGACATTTCTGACCTGGAGCTTGACATTCTGTATACCTTTATACCTTTATACTCCTGTACAGAAAACCACATGACAGTAAAGCGACAAACAAGCAGAAAACCTACCCCTCCTAAAAATACAGCTATGGGCAGATTTACCCAGTGATGATCACCAGAAGCCTCATGTTAGGCCAGTTCCCTTGGACAGGAGGACATTGTTGGAGAATAAAATAAAGGAATTATACTGAGGGCCTAAAGACGAGCAGCTTTTGCTCTCCAGCTATTTGATTTCAGCACTTATTTTCTAACTTGATAGTCATTTGATCTGACTGAAGTTTCCTGAAAAACAGTTCGTCTCACATGACAACTACAGGGCTTTGTGCAAAAACTTTGTACATAATCATTAGATTATCTGAAACACGACTGTCCTTTTTCTATACAACTACAACACCTCGCTAACCCTAAAACGTGACAAATGATCGCTGCCATCTGATTCAGGAGCTTCCTCTTCCTCAGTGAACGCTGACTAGGGATATGATCACATGACCATCTCAGAGAAACTGAGGCATTGGGCAAAGATATCAAAACTATATTTCCTGCCAACCAGAACAAATGAATACAATGGCAGCTTGCTGCCTGTTTAAATATACTGAGATGGTTCATGTTTTATAGCAGAGGAATACAGTAGATAATGGCCGAGATAATGATACCAGTAGATCCCACCGTCACATCAGAACACTAGACATGGAGCCAACAGCCAACTTCATAGCACCCCAATACTAACACTTCACCAACACACTGTATGTCGGCTAATCCATACAGTAACATAAGGAGCTGAGGCTCAACTAGGAGGAAATATGTAAAGAGAAATTATGGGAGGGCAAAGATCAGGACTGGTGGGACCTGTGGGGAAGGCTGAGAGAGTCAGAAGCATCCAGTCACAGTGAATGGTTACCTGACTGAAGACGGACAACTAGCTTAACTGTTTGGCATTTTGTCTGATACAAGGTAAGCACCATATTCATAAGACAAAACAGTGACATTAATCTGCTCTTTTAAATCCCAGGATGAAAATCAACCTTTTTCTACAAATGAACTCATCTGCCAACAGTTAATGTACAACAAGTTAAATATTTCTTAAGAAAGGGGAGAAACCTGTGGCATAAACTATCTGTTGCAGTCATTAATTCAGTAAAACACATGGTCAGTGAAATTGATCTTAATAATTCACACAAGTCATAATGGAAGTATAAAAAAGGCAATTTGTTGAGTTGATTCCTCTAAATGTTGTTGCTCATCCCTTAGAAAGTAGGAAAGAATCATTCCCCTTTAACAGGAAGCAAGACAAAAACAACCATCAGAACATAGATCCAACAACTGATAAGTTAAGTTGCTACTACCTTTCTATACATACTGTAAACTGCAAGTTACAGGGTACAAAATTCTAAAAAACTGGATACTGTGTTAATTCATGCAAGTATGCAACGTCAGCCTTTTTATCAAATACAGCCTTTTCATCAAAGTAGCAACAGCAAATGTTTGAGGACCTTGGGAGAAACTAAAGGAGTCCTTTGCAGTTCAAGATGATGCACGCAGATTAAAAAGCCTTTTTGCTACATGCACTGCCATTTTTGGAGTCATAGAAAAAGTTCAGCTTTAAGCTTTACAGCAACTATTACAAAAGCAAAACCAACCAGGGTCCAGACACTGGAAGCTGGAGTGTATTTGTGTGTGTTTTTGTGTGTGTGTGGTGGTTAACAGTGAAAGCCATAACACTTTTGGCAAAGGTTCACAATGTGCAAAAACTACAAAGAGTAACAAACTTAAAGAAATGATAATAAGAGCAAAAAAAGGGACCTTGTGGAGAGCAAAACATTTCCCCATGTACATCCTTTCAGCTCACAGCTGGACTGCGACGGTGTGAGTCCTGAGCAGAGCAGGGCAGCTGCCCCACAAACACTGTGGCATTACTTACACAGATATGCTCCCGTTTGTAAAACCCTTCAGGTTACTAGCTGTTATATTTCTGGATCACATCACATTCAGTACTGGGATCAAATGGCACTGGTCTGCTTCATTTTGCAGTCTGAGCACTTCCTGTGTGTATTTTCCCCTTTCATAACTGGCTGCAAACTGGCCGGTAAGTCTGAGCGTGGCACCATCACATGTTGCTTCTCCAACATTCATGCTAATCCCGACTCACGTTAAACATCGTTCCTTAACGCTGATGAAGACTCTGACAAGTACTGGAACTTTTCATCAGAACAATGCTACTCTTCCATTTTACCATAAAGAAGTGATGTATTTATTTGTACTGAATCCATTTGAAAATACAGTTCCCATTTAAAAAATACATGCTTCCTGAGCTGTTTGAGTGATTTGAAAGTGACCAATTAAGTGATTTAACCAGAGCCTGAATTAGAGTTGGCTTTCACTACTTTGTTGCTGTCATCAACCTAAAAACGAAGATTTTTTAAGTTCTTGTTGAACAATTAGGATGACACTCTGCTATAAATCTTTGACTGTCTAATCAGATTTTACTGTAATATATCTGCAAGGAACCAGCCTGGTTTCAGTACATTTATTCCCTATGTTAGCTACTTGGTATCACACCATACGACCAATTACTGATCACCATGAAGCTTGAGTTTTAAATAATAAAAATACTTCTGAAAAACACTGGTTTAAGAAGGCATTGTAGGGATAAAAAGGAGCAATGCGAAGACTAGTGCACTTTGTGGCAAGACAGAGCAGTTTTGATGATAGTAGGGAAGGTGTGTGCCAAGCGGGGTTAGTCTGAGACAACCACCGTCTGTGTACCATCTGGCACATTTTGTATTAGTACCTCACCCAAAAAACATCAGTGCTGATCCACATTGTCTGAACGAAGAGGCAGAGCTGAAGCTTAGCAGAGAGGGAGCAGAATAAACCACTTCTTTCTCAAGGTTTCTGGCTTTTGATCAGTACAGGCGTTTTGGAATAATAGAGTCTAAGCTCTGTAGTGTACACGACTTTTCAACACATACCTTTGGCACTACTTTGTTCTCACAATAAAGCCACCCACAATATTTGCAGCTAATTCGTGGCATGTTAACATTACTTAGTAAGACAGATTAATAATTCTCCAGAAGGAAATGGTAATAAACTAGGGGTAGGATTGAATGCCTCTGAAGGTACTGGGTTGGGGAAGGAAACTTCTTCCTTACCTTCCCACACACCTGTAAATATAAACCAACATGGTGTCTAGCACTTCCCTCGTTGGCACTGTCGTTTTAAAAAGGGGATATTTGCGGGCTAACCCAGCACAACTACAGTGTCAGCACTGGTAGCTCTGAATTCTTGTTGAACGAAAAACAAAGACAGAAACAAATCACAGACAATATAAGTAGCACCTAAATAGTAGCCAAAAACTGCTGCTAATGTTCAGAAATGCTAGAGGTATTATGAATGCATCACATTAATACAAGAACCGTTTCAGCTTGTTGATATGGTCAGACTGCCATGAGCTGCATTAGTTTGACATGCTGTCCCCTCCCAACTAGCATTTCCAAGATGTGTCAGATAAAAAGAACGACAGTCTCACTCTCTCTCTTTCTCTCTCTCTCCATATATACATATATATGTATAAATATGTATCTATATAGTAACAGTTGAAGAGTATAATACAAGGCAATGAACATATTGCAGAAATAACCCATGCAAGACACATTTATAAGTATGCTGCCAATTGAAATGCCACGGGTGACAGTTCAAGTAATGGAAAAGGCAGTTTAAAAGAAAACATTTTAAAGAAACTTCTAGATGATAACAGAAAACTAACATATCTACTCATAACCAAAAGTTCATGACAACTATGAATTAAAAAGAAAGAAGAAAAACCTGTCATGTTCAGAGTGATGTTTTTCTGTCTGGGCTTCTGTGAGATTAGGCCCACTGCGTGCTAAAAAGTGGGAGTGGCCACGCCACTTCTGCAACAGTTATCATGGTTAATAAGAGATAGATTACATACAGTAGTACCATTTGTGGTTCAATATGCAAAAACATGGTAAATCAGCAGTCCATCCATGCTGTTTTCCTGCTGTGTAGGCAAAGCCAGGACCAAGGCAATGGCACATCATGTTTGGCAGGACGTCTCCTCTGCTCAGCCTCCTTCTCGTCTCTGGAGAGCTTTGCTTTGCTTTACAGCAAATTAAAGTGCAAGGTGTGTTTCCCCTTACAGACCTCCTCGCTGCTGGGTTCACACCTTTCCAGACACTGGTTTCCCTCACAGGGACAACATGGATTAGTAGATGCACATTCACCAGAGCAGTCTCCTGTAGTCCAGATCAGAACAGACAGCTCAGTCCACTCACACCCACTAAGGTCTACTCTGTGCCAGCAGGCTTTCAGGATTGGGCTGCCCGAGTCCTGTGGGTGGGCCAGAAGACTGGTCAGAGGAAGCGTCAGGCAGTGGTGTTGCCGTTTAGAGACGATGTGGCACAGGGAGTGGTGTTTTGTTGCTAGGCTGGAGCTGGGCCAGGCCAGGCCAGTCTGGGAGGGACTAAGAGAGTGGAGGGCCTGGCTCATCTTTGGTCCCGTAAAGCACTTGATTTATGTCAGGGTAAATGTCTCCCTCTGCTAGGCGGGGGGGCCAGCACGTGGGAGGATGGGAGGAGGGGGGGTGCCGGCTGCTAAGCTACCACTGGAAAGATGTGCAGCACAGGCAGGAATGTTTTCATTAGGCCATGCAGTTCAGAGGTGTCCATAGCAACCGGCGGTGAGGACGTCGGGACGGTAAAGGGGGGGAGATGGGAGGAACAAAAACACTCTTCCAAATTTGAAAGTGGACAGAAACAATTGTCAGACACTTCTGCACGCTCACCAAAGCACTGTCAACCTGCTAAAGATGGGAGAGGGAGAGCTGGCTACTCCAGATAAACAACCCAGACGTGAAGCAGGTGGACATGCAGCCTAAAAGAAACCAACCGGAGGCTGTGCTCAGCAAAACAGCGGACTAAATCCAAAATAAACTCTGTCCCCTCAAGGTGGAGAGACATACTCAGCCTTAAGGCAATGCATAGCCCTTGGAAACATTGGCACATGCATGGAGAGTGCATAATGTCAGAATGTGTTTGTAAATGTATGTGCATATGTTCAAACTGAGCTAAACGCCGAGCGGCAGAACGGACTCTCGGTTCCAGAGTCAGAGCACTGAAACGGCCCAGTCCTTACACAGCTGCTGAGATGTGCACGGTGGCTCTGGCTACAAGCCAGTGCCCAAGCTTATGGTGTAGAAGCCAATCCATCACAAGACTGAGAAAGTAAATCCACATTCTGTGTGCTCACATACAAATACTGAGGAAAGCAGAGGGAGAAGAATGGGAGGCAGGAGAAGAGAGCAGGGCAGAGGGACAGTGATCTCTGGCTCCAGCTGAGAGCTGGATGCAGCCCCCGGCAGCGGCTGTGAGGGGGGGTCAGATGTGGGTGAGAGTGGTGGAGGTGATGAGGCGCACAGTGAGCGTGCCCGGCAGGTCGCTGTCCTGCCGGCTGCCCTTGTCCCGGAGGTGGAGCGTGTGCTGCTCCTGCCGCTCGTTAGGGTCACTGAACAGGACCACCTGACCCAGGAAGGTGTCCACAATCATGTTCTTGTTGTAGATCTGCACGGTGCTCACAGGAGGATCAGCAACAGGGGAGGACAGCAGGGAAACGAAGGAAAGAGTAGAAACTAGTAAATACGCACAAATGGGGAACCAAAGCAGGAAATACATCAAGCATAGAATGTTTTATCTGATAGGATGTGACACAAACACAAAACACTGGAGATAAACCAAACTAAAAAACTACAAAACAGGCTGAATGAGTGTCCTGCATAAGAATCAAAGATGCCACCTGCTTCATAACCCCCCCCCCCCCTCCAAAGAACTTTGGAGGAAATTTAAAGGAAATGTCACACAACAAAGAAGATGCTTTAAGAGAGAAAAAAAGAACAATTGAATTTTTCTGGTGCTGGAGCCAAAAAGAAAGACTCCATTAAGACTTTCCACCACCTTTAAACAGAACAGCAGCTTTAGGGTTCTGCGGGCTAGACTGGTCTTTACTGATAACTCGTCACCAGTAAAGCTCTTCAGAGGGCATTCAGAATCATGAGTCACAGTCACACCAGGACCCTGCAGTTCTCCACTCCACTGCCCGGGAACCTTTCAGCTCATCACCACCTGCCACCACCTGTTGACCCCTCCTTTGGAAACTGGACTGCCTGTCCTGTTCCCCCCACGTTTTGATGACACCGACCTGACTCTAGCGCTTCATTCTACCAGACTCTTGTGGCTCACTTGGACACACACACACACACTCCTCCGGCTGTAACACGGGATTTTATGTTGATAAAAAATATGGATTGCGTTTTTACAAGTTACAACAGTGTTGCTTGTTGTGACATCCAGTCATAGAGCGTAATGTACGGTCTGAGCTAGTCCTTACCAGCTCCACAAATACCGGTTCTCCACTGCGCTGTGACTAGATTACAAAATGGAATCCGTCTAAAGTCATAGTGTTACTAATCATATCATCTCCCAGCTCTGGTGAGGTAAATGCCCATGACATTGTCAGTAATAATTCCCGGTAAGCCTTTGGCCCTGAAACTCAGGGTTGTCAGGGACTGGTGACAGATGTCCAGATCTCCTTACCGGCTTCAGTCTAATGTGGCATGATGTCACAGTAGGAGGAAATGAAGGGAAAAGACTTTCAGGTAAAGTTGTGCATGAGGGGAAGTGTTTGGGCACAAATCACCAACCAGAACCTTTCCACCAGCTGGCCCCAGCGCTCCTGAGCTGGGAGTGTGTGGGTGCCTGTCCCATCACATGCGGGGGGGTGATGGGACTGATGGGGATGACAGCAGAGAGACAGCTCACCTCGATGTGGATGCCCTCCTTGGGCTTTTTGCGGTAAAACAGGCCTTTGATGTCAAAGTTGGGGCAGCGTGTGTCTTTCTGAACTGGTGACCGGACCCTCTCTCCTTCACAGGTGATTATCACGTAGGGGTCTACAGCTGGAGGAAAAGAAACTCAGATCCGTACATCACACAGACACAGCCCTAAGCATCAGACAAGGCCTTGTTCCTGACTACTGGATTTCTTTCAGGCCAAACAGTTTTTATCTTGTGAAAACAAAAGAACTTTAGTCTACATCACCCCTGCCTCGGGGCAGAGGCCTCCTTGCTGAGAGGGCAGAAAATGGTGCCTTCATTTGGCATTTTGCATGGAAAAAAGACTAAACTAAAATATGAACTAAAACTTGCTAATTTCCCCCCAAAAAAACAAAGAACATACAGGTTTAACTACTTCTGTAAAGTAGCAGCTTGAATATGACCTGTAGCTGTGTGCCATCATATTTCCAGTCTAATGTAACCTGACCTCATTTCCATATTCTCAATTTAATCACCTCACCAGTGACACAGGACGAACGGACATCCCTTAAACTGACATCTATCCCTGTACACTGCTCCAGGCACCGTAGTTTAGCCTAATATTATTGAGCATTTTCAGGATGGCAGCTTGGTTTGTCGTCGCTTCAGATGTAGATTTACTAAGAAGACAAAATGTGTTTAAAAAATATAATCTAAGCCTCTCAAAGGGTTTTATTCAAATAACTGCTTAGAGCAAAAAGGTAGGTGCTTTAGAAAAACTATTGAACTTCCTGAACCATTCACTTCATAAAATGCTTGCAGTTCTTGCTAACTGAAGTTCCATTCGCCAGTAATGATGTCTGAAGTGTAGGATGTTTGCAGCAGTGGGAAAAGTGCTACAACTCCAGCACACGGCAGTGCATTCTGAGTGACAGACACTTCCGCTAAGGCTCTTTAATAAGACCTCCAAAGTTAAAGCGCTTTGAGCAGGATAGGAAAATGCTGTTGCCACCATGTGGCCACAGATGGAACCTGTCATAAGAAAAGCAACAGGCTGAGGCCTGTGCAAATAGCACCAGAATTCCCAGCAGTTGCTGGCTTTTATTTCTAATCTTTCAACATTAACTGACTTTAACAGGTTGCTTAAAGGTTGGTCCAACTGCATCAGTATTAATTTGCTTAACTTAAAACTGTACTTTTAAGCTTTTGGTTAAACTACGTGGTTGTGGCTTTTATGATATTAGAATTAATAGAGGGAGTTGTTTGAATACGACACCCATATCTCTGGCTGCTTTCTAGGCCTGCTTTTCCACAAAGTCTCCCCCAATAATCACATTTATAGCCCCAACTGCATAGCATTAACATAATGGTCAGGGCTGCCAATTATCCCTCACAGAACATGAGACTTTTTCAGGGCGACACACACCTTCCCTTTTTTTAACTTTCAGTGAGAATACAAAAGAACAAAGCAGAATAAAGTTAGAAAAACCAGAGCAAAGTCTCTGGGGGGAGCCGGCAGTGTGAACAGAGGGTCAGCCCCTCATGACCTCATGAAGCACACACTCTTCCAACCGCTTATTAAGAAACAATGCTCTTGAGAAGTCACGTTGGTCAACCCACAGCTTTAGCTTTTCAATCTGGAATCTTTCTTTACAGCTCTCATCTGCAAACTCCTCCAGTCACATTCTTAAAGGGATAAACCCCATGAGGACAGAGAGATGCCATATTTACAAAATACACACACACCTTTAGACTGGCATGCCTGCACTACACCCCCTGGATGATTAACTTTAGATTCTACTTCATAACAAACTTCTGTATCTTTAGCTCTGGGTGGATGGATGTCATCTATGTTTGATGACATCCATCCACCCATCCATTTTCCACACCGCCTATTCCCTACAGGGTCGTGGGGGGGCTGGAGCCTATGAGTTTGCTCTTATTTCTCCTTAGAATCTGTTCATTACCTTAGATTTCTAAAAGGGGGATTTCTAAATGATTAAATATGATTACTCATTTAAATGATTGATTGAATAAATTCATATTTTACTTTTACTATCATTAATTTTTATGTATACTCTCTCTTGACTTCAACCATGAAGGTCGTGTGACTGGTTTGGTTTCTTAGCCTGTTTTTAAACAGGATTGCGTCGAAATTCAGGGGTAGATTTTTAAATGTTTCATATTTTAACCAGAGCTGTAAGATTGACCAACTTTGAAATAAAGATCTTCACAGTGAGTCAAGATCACAACCTCTTGGTTGTGCTCTTCTAAGGAAGGAGGGGCTAACACTGATGGAGCTGAGGCACTGCATAAATATCATGCAAATGGCTCTAAAGTGTAAGCAAAATGGCTTCCCTAAAGGAAAAGAGGATAGTGCACTGCAGGCTAAACTAAGTATCTACGTCAGCAGGTGGTGCCGTGGTACCTTGTGCTTTGCCCAGGAGTCTTTTCTTTTGGGGATTGAGACAGTGCAGCTCTGTGGGTTCACAGGTCATCAAAACAGGAATCACATGGTCATCAACACATGCATAAAAACAGAAGTATCCTGGCTAAATGACAGCAGGCACTCCTACCTCCATTGGCGTCCTGTCCCTGCAGACCATCTGCATTCAGTACATGGACCTGAGTGACCAGTTGAGGGTAGCCACACATTCCCGTCCAGCATGTCTGGGGGGGGTCATCCAGAGTCAGCTCTCTATGAAAGGAAGAGAAAAGAGAGGACATTGAAATAAGAATGACTGCCCCCTGTGTGGAGAGCTGTCATCTCAGCATTAAAGAGGATCTTCTTTAAATTGGGAACTGGGAATATGAAATCCTAGTCCGCATCTACCCTGCAGCAAACGGGGCTAAAACCCCAACCTGTTACCAGGAGGGTCACTAAAACAGCCAACCTAAAAAGTCTACCAACTGTGGACCTCTGCGTCAGACGCTTCCGGTGGATCTCCATGCTGCTGCAGCCTGCAGTGTTGTTGAAAAGACACTTGGCAGGAGGAAATGTGACCAAATGTTTGATGCAAAAGGGATACTGTGTCATTAATGCCATCAGAGCTTCAGTTTCGATGTTATTCTTTGGCTTTGACTCGTTTCAGATGGTAGCTTTTAGGTATAGTTTGCTTCTCAGGAAAACCTCTGACTTTCCAAAATAAGAGTTTTTTTCTTAAAAGCTATTTCTGTCAGCTAAAGTAACATGTCTGTTAATGCCAGTGCATCCAAGGTTATTAAAAGCCAATATGTGCTCTCACGAAAGCAGAGGGCTTCACCAAACTCTCATCTGGAAGACATGGCTTCGAAATGGGATGTTTATGAAAGACAGCACATAGGTTGTTGAACTAACAAAGGCAGTAAATTGTCTAATGTCTGCCAGTTGAACTTAGAAACTCAACATTTGAAAGGAGCTTTGATCTCCACACACATCAGTGATGGAACTGACATTCAGCAGACGCACCGTGTCCCCCCCAGCACTGAGACGTTCTCATATTTACTTGCAGTCTGAAGGCACATCAGTGAAGACACGGAGGAGAAAGTCGCCCTGCTGCCCAGGGTCAAAGGTTGTGGGAATGATGACATAACGGCCTTCTTTCAGCTCCTTTCTGAGGAAGACGCAGCGTGAGTTGATGTAGATGGAACCTGCTACTTTCTGCTGGGCTGTGTGCATACGGTACTTCCTGTTCAGTTCCACCTGCACCATTAGACAGCACATCCACAGAAATGTGTCATGCTGAGAAAATGGACCTATGCACTTCTTAAGCTTTACCCTGTGTGTGCATGTGAGTTACTACCTGGTGGATATCAAAGCCTATAGCCAGGTTTTCCCCTTTGCCCTCTTTGGGTGTGGCTCTCTTCTCTTTTTGCTGTAAGCAGATCAACACCTCGTCTTCCACCTTCTTCACATCAAAGACGTACTAAGAAACAAAAACAGTAATCACAGATGAAGATACACGTTGGGAGTGGTTCATCAGCTCTCAGTTGGAACAGGAGTATGTGCACCGACCTGTGGGTTCTGGAGGAAGGTGGACTTATGATTAATGCAGCCTCCAGATCTGTTGCGAAGGGGATCCTGGCGATGGATCCAGGAGCCCCTCATCACCTCCTCCTCCCAGGTCTTGTGGATGCTCAAGTAAGAGGTGTTGATCAGACGGCAAAGGATCAGATCAGTAAAATACTGGCAGAAGTCATCAAACGTCATCCTGTAGGAGGGCAGACAGAGACGAGAGGAAAAGAGGAAGTGGTTGACGACTAAAGGGAAAAAATACCTAAAACAGGTTTAAATATAGAGGAAATGAGAGCAGGATCATAGCCATCTGTTACTAATAAAGGGAGACAAGAGTAATCTGTGCTGTTGTGAATGTTAATCTAGCAATAACAGGGCTTGTATCCATTTCAATTAATGTTGTGTCTGCCAAAGTAAAATACCTGGCTGCAGCTTTTTTGCATTAAAAATACAGAAAACCAAATAATATTTCCATTTCCCAAACTGTTAGTGATTTAAACAACCAGTTCAAAATGAGATTTGAATAAAAGTACAGGGATTGGACAATGAAACTGAAACACCTGGTTTTGGACCACAATACTTTATTAGTATGGCCTCCTTTTGCGGCCAATACAGCGTCAATTAGTCTTGGGAATGACATATACAAGTCCTGCACAGTGGTCAGAGGGATTTTAAGCTGTTCTTCTTGCAGGATAGTGGCCAAGTCACGACGTGATGCTGGTGGAGGAAAATGTTTCCTGACTCGCTCCTCCAAAACACCCCAAAGTGGCTCAATAATATTTAGATCTGGTGACTGTGCAGGCCATGGGAGATGTTCAACTTCACTTAACTTCATGTTCATCAAACCAATCTTTCACCAGTCTTGCTGTGTGTATTGGTGCATTGTCATCCTGATACACGGCACCTCCTTCAGGATACAGTGTTTGAACCATTGGATGCACATGGTCCTCCAGAATGGTTCGGTAGTCCTTGGCAGTGAGGCGTCCATCTAGCACAAGTATGGGGCCAAGGGAATGCCATGATATGGCAGCCCAAACCATCACTGATCCACCCCCATGCTTCACTCTGGGCATGCAACAGTCTTAGTGGTACGTTTCTTTGGGGCTTCTCCACACCGTAACTCTCCCGGATGTGGGGAAAACAGTAAAGGCGGACTCATCAGAGAACAATACATGTTTCACATTGTCCACATCCCAAGATTTGCGCTCCTTGCACCATTGAAGCCGACGTTTGGCATTGGTAGAGTGACCAAAGGTTTGGCTATAGCAGCCCGGCCGTGTATACTGACCCTGTGGAGCTCCCGACGGACAGTTTTGGTGGAAACAGGAGAGTTGAGGTGCACATTTAATTCTGCCGTGATTTGGGCAGCCGTGGGTTTATGTTTTTTGGATACAATCCGGGTTAGCACCCGAACATCCCTTTCAGACAGCTTCCTCTTGCGTCCACCGTTAATCCTGTTGGATGTGGTTCGTCCTTCTTGGTGGTATGCTGACATTACCCTGGATACCGTGGCTCTTGATACATCACAAAGACTTTCTGTCTGGGTCACAGATGCACCAGCAAGACGTGCACCAACAATTGGTCCTCTTTTGAACTCTTGTATGTCAGCCATAATGTTGTGTGCATTGCAATATTTTGAGCAAAACTGTGCTCTTACCCTGCTAATTGGACCTTCACAGTCTGCTCTTATTGGTTCAATGTGCAATTAATGAAGATTGGCCACCAGGCTGGTCCAATTTAGCCATGAAACCTCCCACACTAAAATGAGATGTGTTTCAGTTTCATTGTCCAACCCCTGTATATCATATATGAATTGTCTTCATGTCCAGCACGATTTCTTTCCCAGTGACTGACTTAATCAGAAAAACAGGGAATACAGAACCCCTCTGGGAAACCTCTGCTCTGGTCCCCCTCGAGTTCAAACAATAAGAACCATTTTATACTTAACAGTGGGTTTCTTATGCCCACATAGGTTTTTTCAACAGCCTTCACATTGCTTGTTAACCACATCAACCTTCTGAACTGCTCATTCTGTAGCCTACAGGATTCATGGCTGTTGGTGTGGGGCTGTGACATGTGGACAGGAAGATGCACAGCACTTGACATCGGAAATAGTCTGACATGGTTTTCTGTGTGCTTGATTCTGCCTTCCTGCCTGGATCATCTGCTTTGTGAAGCCTCCTGTGTGTTTTGCTTGAATTGACAAATCAGCTCTATGGTTTATGTATTTATGAACAAAGCCAAAGGTTGATAACAGTGGATGGAAGTCACGACTAACAGAAAGTCCTCAACCAATAAGAAACTGATTGTTAGCACAGATAACCAACTGCTGACCACAGTTCCATATGGACGGATGTGAAAACATTAAAAAAGAAAGAAGAAGAACCTACACAGGTATTAGTCTTGTATTACACACTACGTACTTGAAAGTAAGAGTTCTCCTTTTTTATCGAATTACCTGAGGAAACATTTCAATCACAACTTGGTAACTTTAGCTGTTTCACTAATCACCCCTTCTGTCTTGGTATTAGTATTTTTCTTTTCCCTGGTTTTAAGCTTGAACTGGTCCCCACTGTCATCTTTCTTCAAAAACTCAAAAAATCAACACACTAACAGCATCAACACTAACCTTAACCCTTAATCACCAAGTCTGACCTTTTATTGATAGTTGTTAACTTCTCAACAATAGACCCTTTGGTAGAATATTGAGTAACAGACTCAAACCAATACAACGTACAGTATGGTTAGGTTAAAACAGCTCATTGTTTTTTTGTGAACGTCTCTCATGGCAACAGATAAAGAGTAAAATGTCCACAGTCCATTAGAACTGAAGTAGTCCGGAGCACTGTGGCACTGCTGGGCCAAACCTTCCCACATGGTACGAGGAAAAACCCCTCTATAGCCAATATTGTGTGGTGCCACATTGAAAAGCCACACATGTTGGCTTCTTTTCTTTATTTGCTTTACTTTCGTTGCTCTTCTCTCTGGGGGCATGGTACAGGTAGGATGTTGTGTAATACTCGTCTTCTCCCTGTTGGTTGCAACAGTTTCACTACCTGCACTAGACTGCCAAGACCTTTCCTTTATTTGACAACTTGGATGACAATATCCAGTATTGTATTCTCAGAATTGGGCAGCGATGGGGTAGTGTTTTCCTGTTCAGCAGTCTGTAGTCGTTAGCATAGGCTCCCATCCTTTTTCCTGACACACTTGGTGTAATAGGTCCTGTAAGTGCATCTTTACTTCTTGGTAGAGATGTTTAGGAATTGCATTGCACATCTTTTTGGCAGGATCATTGTGTTTAACCCTATATCCAGATCTAAATCTGTGCTTCATGCTGTGTCGCAATCATCCTCAGTGAAATACATCCCATTCTTCCCTCAGCATTTGTTGTAGCTGCTGTTTTTGATCTGTGAGATGGTTTACACTGACAGGTGGGTCTCAGGGCTCAGCTTGTGGCTCTCTTGTTGCTGCTGCACAGGCAGGGCTTCACTGTGGTCAGACTCCTCAGGTTTCTGGTCACCTACAGCTTTCGCCTGCAGAGGGTAGACGGTATCAACAAGGTACAACAAACCAAGTGCGTGCGACCGGAGCACAACATCATTCTTGGTCCAATTTTAAACAGTCACTTCAACGTTACAGTCTTCTTAGGAAGCATCAATGAATCTGTTCCCTGATGACCAGTCCTGTTGTCCGGGGTGCCTCATAATTTGACTCTGGCACTGCACTTGATCCACTGAGATGAGCGGGATTTAGTCCACCGCACTGCATCATCGTCACTTTGTTCTTCGGGGTAGTCACTGGTGGACTGCCTCTTCTTCCTAGGAGGCGTTGACTTTCTGGCTTTTATTTCCTCAGGAAAGATAAATATCTTTTGGCATTTTGTGCCGTATATCAAGTGCATAGAGTCCCAATCATATGACTAGAAGAACTCGTCATCATAGAGTCGTTGGTCGTAGCCTGTTCCTCAGTTCATTAAAGGAATGATGGAGTGTCCAGTATTACTGCTGGCAACTAGGACCAGGAAAGGTTTGTCACTCCTCCCAGCCACAGCATCTCTGGATTGGGATACTTCCAGTTCCATCCATCCCTCATATGAGATAGCAATTTTGTAGCTGACAGTGCCAATGCTTCATCCTCAAGCAGCCCGTCAACATCTGGTAGCCAACACCTATATCCCACAGTGCTGTAGTGTCCACTCCTAACCAAGGAGGTTAGAACTCCACATCTCAACCCTGCCAGGGGCTCTTTGATGCATTTTATTGATGAGCTTTGTTACAAGACTAAGCAGGTTTGCTCTCTCTGTGATGTCAGGGGGATGATGATTTCCTTTTGTTAGTGCTGGCTGCAACATTTTTCTCTGGCCAACCCAGTTCCCTCTGTTCTTCAAAAAGTGGATGGACAAAAGAAACATCGTGGCTTCTTGTGGAGGCTGTCACCACGGTTACAGTGGGGGCAGAATTACATTCATTTTGCTGACTTGTGTGACTGATTGCAATAAAAATTTTGCCCAAAGGACAGAGCTCTTGGATTACACTTACGGGCTTTTTCACTTTGTTGATTTTGTCCTATGGGTGCTCCAGGAGAGACATATCTTCATCTTGTGTGGTTGTAACATCTTCCCTGCTACATACTGAAGAATCTGCTTTGTCCAAAGTGCTGTACATATTTAATTCAATTCTGGAGCTGTCAGAGTCAGAAACACTGACACTTTCCTGGTGCACTGTACACATGATAGAAAACTCTTCCTTTCAGTGTCTGGTGGGATGTCAGTAGCCGTGCCTAGCAGCTCGCAGGAGCGTCAACCCTTACTGCAATTGTTTCCAATTGCAATCAACTGTTCTTGGTTCTTTGATTACAAGGTGAAAAGCCCAAGTTTTATGTTGCAATCTTGAAAATAAAAAGATGGGACTCCTCACTGTTGGTAACGTTTTTTTCTCCTTTACATTTTCTCGTTTTTAGGCTAGTCTTTCCGAAGCCTTTTTTATTGGCTCGCTCATAAAATGAACACATCATTGCTGGCTGATGATGTCCGTCCATCCATCCATGTAACCGCTTATTCCCTAATGGCGTCGCCGGGGGAACTGGAGCATAACCCAGTGGTCAATGGGTGAGAGGCGGGGTCACCCTGGACAGTTCGCCAGTCCATCACAGGGCCAACATGTCCGATCAACCTAACATGCAGGTTTTTGGATGGTGGGAGGAAGCCGGAGAACCCGGAGAGATGATGATGTACACTATAAAAGAAAGCCTTACCTTTGTTGTTTATGATACTTGCACAGTAAATTATTCCTGTTGATATACTGAAACAAACTCCTTAATAAAATTATGTCAACTTAATAAGGTATGAAGAAAACCACAGGTGAGAATTGATGAGAGAAAACGGAGCACACCAGGAACACAGAGAGAATACTGACGAGGACCTGACGAGGAATGGCTAGAACAGAGAGCTCATATTGAGGAGAAAGTAATGAGTGGATGCAGAGCAGATGAGACAGAGGGCACAAGTGAACATAAAAGAAAATACATACAGTGAATACATTGGCTTTCAGGGCAGGGAAAAGTTGACTTTTATGGTGAGTAAGGCATGAGCAACAAAAAAACATGACAAACCTCCTTCCTTCAGTGTGGCGAAGGCCTTCCCTGCTGGAACAGCGGACACTGGCATGGCCAGGAGAACATTTAGTGATGTATGTACATAAAGATAGAAGTCAACCGTTTCCCTAAAAATAGGCAAATCTGGCTGCCGTTATCTTTTTCATCAGCCTGCCTCCACAGCTTCAATTCAGCCACTGCATCATCCAGATTAGGCATCTGTGGCCTCATACAGGAGTCACATGTTAACTTAAACTGTGTGGGATGATCTTACAGACCATCTTGTGGAAGATACTGGCTGACTAATAATAAAGAGGAATCAATAAAAAAGTCAAATAATTATAATGATAGAATAAAAAAAAAACTAAATCTGAAGGTACACACAGTGCATACCCTAACCATAAGCTAACCCTAACAGCTGCAGGTGCCATGGTGACGACCAGACCTTTATAATGACTGGTTGAACGAATGGTTTCTTTGATTCGGTTTTGGGCCATCTATGGTTATCATACAATATCATACTATAGCTATCATGCCACCAGGGACAGGTTTACATGTTTAACCATCATGTGCCCTCGTGCGGTCATTCATACACTGCTTTCATTAATGAATGGTGTATGAATGGCCCCATGAGGGCATGCAATAGTTAAGTCTTTCTTGGCCCAGTTGGACATTTCAAGGAAATTTGGTTTTGCTCTTTCTACTTAAATTGTAAGAGCAGGTATTTGAGAATATGGATATCATCTTGACTGAAGCCACTATACAGACTCGTGTCGCTTCACTTTAGTTGACTTTTGGTGTGGTGTTAGCTGGGACCACCCAGTTGGTGATGGTTTGTAGAGAGGGCCATGTCTGTGAATGGGTTGCTCGTTGTTTTGAGTAGACTGTTATGTTGGTTTTGAAAAGGCCTCCCCCATGATGGTGTTCAGCAGAGCAGTGAGTTAGTTCATGGCAGGGCCAGGCAGTATGCATGCTGGTGGTGCCTTTGGGATTGTGGCTGCTGGAGAACCTTCTCTGAATCCTTGCTATTTTGCACACCAAGTCACTTGGCCTGGGTGCACGCTAGGTGCTGCCTGTCTTTGCTTCTTAAATGCTAATTCTGCTCATTCACGCAAATGCTGAAGCATGACAATGTGAGGGTCACCACAACTCCTAAGTACTAGTAGCTGGATGGATATTGTAGCGCAAAAGTTATTTGATGCAAAGCAAGACATTAAAACCAAAAAACAAAGAATATCTGTATCTCATATATCTTCATTTGCAGCATACTACATTGGGCACTCACAAACCTCCCCAAAATGGCAGAGGAATTACACATGCTACAGTATAAGAGAGTGAGCTTTGTGCCTCTCACCAGAACTCGCCATCATCCTGCACGGTGACACCCAGTTTTTCCCTCTCACTCTTGCTGACCTTGTTCCATTCCTCTGAACTGTAATGAACAAAAACCGAGCAGACAAACACAAATGAAAACAAGCTCATTTAAAAAGATTTCCAACTATCCTTCTTAAGTATTTTCCTTCTTTCAATAATTGCTCAGCACATCGCAGTTATTTCAGCATCTCAGTTGGCACAGTTCACCTCTTATTTGGCACATAAAGACTCCGTCTCCATGTTTGTGTCAGTTTACAGTAACAGATTTTATCAGATCACAGCTAAATTATTCAGTAAAGATGACATGTTTCCCATTATACGTCTCATCCAAACATATGAATAATTCAGATGCAGTATATTCCAGCATAAACGCCAGGTGAGGCTCAAGCCTGGGCAGGACAGTTTAGCTGCTGGTTGGCAGCCTAGTTGGGACTCACACAGTGGCACTATAGTGCCAGCCAATCGTGGACCAATACCCAGTAAAGGCAGCTGGACTGTCTGAAGTTAAAACAGATCAAAAGTTTAAAAGTTACCGGTTAGCAACAGCAGCAAGTCGTGCCAGCGCTCGCTCGTCGCAGCCATTCCAAAATCTGAACACTCACAGTTGACCTCCAGGGGGCAGCATTGGGCCTACCTGTCGCTCCAGGGGCCGCTCCACTCCTTCTCTCCCCATGGGTTCCTCATGCGGATCATGTGCAGCTTCTCCGACTTGAAGAAGGCCAGCAGTCCATGACCAAGCCTCACCTTCCGGACATCCGTCACCGCGTAGGCGTGGCCTTTCACCAAACCACAGTCCAGCCGCGCCTCCATGTCTTCAATCGTGGTTGCCTGGAAAACGGACACAGGATTTAAAGTCTGAAAACAACATTTTTATGTTTTTTTTAATGAGCAATCACCAGCGGTAAAACCATTAAAAAGACGTATCCTTTGGGTGAGAAAGCTTCTCTCTATGTGGCCACAAAGAGAAGAAAAGTCTGTAAGCATAAAATGCAGCATACAGCAAATGAAGTGCTACAGTCATGTGGAACAGTACAGCCAGTTCATACCTTTGGCCTGAAGTTTTGCACAGTTTAAAGGGAAAATTCTTAATATTTCAGCTTTATTCGGCTGCACTAAGGTCCTATGCATCCAAAGAGGAAGCTGAACTCAAAGTCAAGCATTTATTTTTTGGGTGACAATATTGCAGTAAGTTTTGAGGCTGCTGCAGGCTGAGCCTCCCACACAGGATAACCCACTCTGATCTAAGCATCTAAAAGACAAAAGGCTCCAACTACAGCCCTGGAAAGATGAGTGACTAATAACGTCAGTAGAACTGTATCAATAAACAGTCATCTGTATGCTGTCTTTTCATATCAGCAATGTCAGAGCTTGTGTTGGCCTTCCATACCTAACCCAACATGCTACCCAGCCCCTGCAGTCTATGGTTACCTCCCAGCTTGACTATTGGAACGCCCTCCTGACTGGTCTCCCAGCCTGTACGGTAAAACCGTTACAAAAGATCCAGAATGCGGCGGCGTGTCAATCAGCCTGAAACTTCCACGTCACCCCTCTGTTCATAGAGCTTCACTGGTTACCCCTGGCTGCCCGTATCAAATCCAGGTCCCTGATGCCTACAAAGTGCTTTTAGGGTCCGGCCCCCGTCTACTTGAATCCTCTTGCAAAGGCTTATGTCACAACTCGGTCATCAAATTGTGGTCTAGCAGAGCCTTCACCACACTTAAGACAATCCAGACTGTTTGCATGTGTCGTTCCAAGATGGTGGAATGACCTACCAAGCGCTTATATAAACTTATAAAGGGGCTATTGATTTAAACTGCCACTGCTGAGACCACAAAGGGAGATGTACTGACAAGCCATTCCAGATGGGATCTGAATCACAGGCCTGTTAGTAAAGGAGGACGCCCAATTACATTTTAGGAAATGACACTGCTTACTTGGTTATCCCACACTCTTTCAACCATCACCCAACAGGATATTCAGGGAACATTAATAGCTTGACCTGCACAGCAGGTGAGTTGATATTCCATACTACAATGTAGGAATGAAGGAATAAAATACAGTCAAAAGGTGCCATCGGACTGGCTGGCATCTCTGCGTTTTGTGTCACTTCTTTTGAACTAACAATGGAGATATAAAACATTTCTAGATAACCCAAATTGAATCTTTGTTGTGCTCTATCTAAAGGCAGGGGTTAGTTTACCCGGATGGAGCAGCTGATGAGGCCGTCTCTGCTGTGGACTTTCAGAACCCTTTCGAACAGCTGGTTTCGGGCTGTCTCATCTGTAGCCATCTGACCCTCCAGCAGGTCTACGGGTTCAGAAACACCGCCCGTAAAGTCCACCAGAGCGTCAGCCGTGTTCCCCCCATCCAAAGCCTCATAGCAGCCATAAACCCTGCATGGAAAGGGAGGAAGCAGCCTGTCAAATGTCTGAACTTTACACTGATATTATAGACACAGCTGTTGCTTTTTTCTATGTATGGAAACCTGATCGCTTATTGTCAGTTAGTCTAGGTTTTGCTGGCAGTGCTACTCACTTAGCATAGGCCTTCTCCACAAGGGCACTCCAGAACTCGTTGCTGTCGTTTGAGTGGCAGTAGACGAGCTGGTTGTCCACTGTTGGTAGCCGGTCATCAATCACCACATCCACCCACTCACCAAAGCGCCAGAAGCGGAAGTGGAAAATCCCAGCGTAGGAATCTGGTTTTTCTGTGTCCCACTCCTGCTCTTTCCAGTCCGGGATGAGCTGAAGGAGGGAGGTGGAGAAAGAAGACCAGAGGGGAAGCTGCACTGAGCATCGAGCTGCCGGGTCAGGGAGTGATGCAGGGGCCATGCTGAGATCCTGACCCTCACGTATGTGATGCGTTAGAGAGAAAATCTACAGCACTAGCACTCTTGGTCAGACGTCCAGCTGTAATAGGACACCGGTGAGAGGTAGCAGTGGTCCTCCTGCACTGAAAGAGCCAGCCTCTTAAGTCGGCCTTCATTTTGTGAGTGGTTATCGAAAGCAAACACAGGCATCAGAAGTGACCACAGTGTGCCTGACCACACCCTACCCGTCCAGTCCTGGATGGGGGGGTTCCTACCTCCAAAGTGAGAAGGTCCTTCCTCTTTCCAGCTGGATCAACAAACCCAGACCAGGATGACTTTTTCCACTCCTGCTCCCTGAATTAAGTCTTTTCATTTTTTTGTGGTCTGGTGGTTACTGAAATTATGCTGGTTAACTTTTAGTTAATCCTAACTGGGACCTGCATGAAACTGTTTAGCTAACTGCTAGCTGAAGACTTCTGGTTTAGATCTCTCAACATTTTCAATCTTTCCAAGTTTGGTACCAGCCAAATGATCTGACATTTCCTGGTGAAGGTGATCTCTGTGAGCAGCCTCCATGAATGAGCAGCAACAGAAAGGCTGCCAGCCCTGACACATGAGAGCTCTCTGTTCTTTTAAGCTGACCCTGCTAGCTAGGCCCCAACCTTATTTTCTACAAGGAATAAACTGTAAAGATAATGGATGGAAGTTTAATGGCTTTGATAATCTGTTTCATTGGAGGAACCCCAATCACACATCACTGGAATGTCAGCCAGATCAAAGCTATGAAACTATTGTCTCCTACTGAGGACTAAAAGGCATTGCTGCGTCTCAGAATAGAAAAGACTCTGAACATTATTGCTCCTGAAATCAAACCTGGTTCGATTTAATGATGGTTGGCCCTCAAGGTGATGGGTCAAAGGTTCTTCTCACACTGTTGCTTTAACGTGCAGTAAATAAAAAACATTCATTTCAGTATCAATCAAGCTGAAAGCCTGTTTTTCAGGCAACCTCTAACAGTATGAAAATCACCACTAAGTGTAGATGAAAAGGTGAGTGACATTGCTCTGCTAACTGAACAGCACTTCCTGTCAGACCTCCCAGCAGGTGGCGCCGCTGTGCTGGTGGAGACTGTCCAGCCCTACGGAGGACAAAGGTGAGGGAGGACAAACAAAGTGCAGCACCACAGGAACCTCACAGTCACTGTGGAGTACGTAGGGAGCCACTCCCTGCTGCTTATGCTCGCTCTTCATCTCTCCACAGACAGTGGGAAACGCTTTAGGCTGGACCAAGTGTCGCTAACTAACCTGACAACTGACCAGGAACACAGGCCCACAGCACCTCTCTATCCCTGTTGTCTGATAAAAGCACAGCCCTGCCTCCTCCTGGTGTCTGATGCTTAAACTTCAGAAATGGCCCTTCCAGCACCAGGATCTGTAACCAAGCACACCAAGCTGAAAACAAACGCGTGACAAACAGTGCTAAGCCCCGCTCCCTGTGGGCCACCCAGAGCTCTGCTTCCAAAGGTAATTGGATCCTGTTTTCTCCTGGCTCCTCTGTACTTCACAGCCATGCAGACAAAGCCAGCAGAGAGGCAGGAGACAGCAGACTCTGCCCTGACCGCTGCAGACCTGCCCTGACCGCTGCAGACCTGCCCTGACCGCTGCAGACCTGCTCCCGCCCTGCTCTGGTTTCTGACAGCATGTCCAGCGTGGAGCTGCCCTTCCGGCTGGACGCCCAGCTGACGGAGGTGATGCGCCTGCGGGTCCAGTCCCTGCAGCAGCGCGGTCAGCGGGGGCAGGCGGGCGAGCGCCTGCTGCTGCCCAACGAGGCGGTGTACCGGCTGGACTTCCCCCCCCCGCCGCTGCTCTTCTCCCGCTGGCTGGTGCGGCTGGCCGGCCCGGGCCGCCTCACCGTCACCGCCACCTCGCAGCACTGGACGCCGGACCTGACCCCCCTGATGACCCGGCAGCTGCTGGAGCCGGCCGGGGTGTTCTGGGCGGCGGGGGGCGGGGCCTCCGGCGCGCCGGCCCAGTGCTACGAGGCGGACGCGGCTGAGCTCGGGGAGAGGGTTGCAGAGCTGGCCGAGGTAAGGAAGGTGATGTACTTCCTGTTTGCATTTGCAGAAGGCTGCTGTCCAGAGACAGTGGAGTGCTCCATAGCCTTCCTAGTGGACACCTGACCGCGGGCTGGGAGCCATTCAGCCCACGCTAAATGAACGCTTCTTTTGTGCTTCTAAGCTCTTGACTAATGAAACAATTGCTTTTAGGTTGCTCGTGTATTTTTGTATGATGGTTTCCCTTCTCAACGGCCAGCAAATGTCTGCTGATATGTGAAGGCCTACTGCTGTTCACAAAAGATGTCTTTGTATGTCTTTGTAATGCTGAAAAACACAAAGCCACATCTTAATAAAGCTGATGAATAAACAGATGTATCTGCATTCTTTTTTAAATCAAAGTATGAGCGTGGGTCTTTTGGGTTTGAATGCTGAACAGCATCGTTTCCTCCCTGTCCACCAGTTTGACCAACAGCTGACCCAGAGGGGTTTGTAGTAGCGTAGGCACACAGAAAATATGCCTCCTGCCTCCTCTCTCTGTCTGGCATGGGGACCCTGACAAACCAAAGGAGGGAGGTGTGGGAATGTGCCCCCTCCCTGCAGGCCCGCCCTGGCTCCAGCCCCAGGGCTGACGGGGAACCAGAAGTGTTTGAAACAGTGTGAGCGAGAAGGAAAACAACTTGGAAGTCAGTAGGATTTAGGTGTTGTTTCTTGTCACCAGGAAGCATCTGACTGAGATGCTGCCTGAACAGTCCCACCACCGGGGGCTGGGCCCGATTCCCCTGAAAAGAGGCAGCACATTTTCCAGAGTCTCAAATCGATCTCCGAAAAAAGCTCAATCAAAAGCAATCATTTCTAAAATTGATCAAAAAGACCCTTTAAAGGCCCCTCTTCTCTTTTCAGGTAATTGGTGTGAGGGAGTAGGCTGTTTTGAAGTAGCAGCCCTCTGTTTCACCGGGGAAAAGCCTCTCCGGTGAGGCCTGTCTGGGATTGTTTGTCCCTCAGAGGAAGTAAAGATGTGGCAAAGAAACAACAGAATATTCTCTTCTGCAGCCCAATGGCAGCTTTCACAAGCAGACCCTCAGCGTTTTCCCCACAGGTTAAACTGCTAAAATAAAGGCTGAGAGCACATACAGCAACTTTTAGCTGAGAATTAATAGTAGTTGCAAGGTCTAAATTCCAACCATTGACGGAAAGGTTAGGCATCCTATCAGCAGCTGGGGGCCCTTTTCTGCTGTGTAGGGCGAGACAAGAGAAGCAAAGACAGAGAGGAGAAAAGCTGAAACTGTAATGATCCAGCTGGCTCAGAAGCAGGAACAGAGAACTTCATACATTTAGAAGAGTTTGTTTGGGTTAGGGTTAGCCAATGCCTCTAATGTAAAAAATATGATAATAATAGAATATTGAAGGAAGACCTTCAATATAGAAATATGGCAGTCCAGGGCCATTCAAGTCACTACTGTGGTGACCCGATGAGATCAATTCCTTGTTAATATGTCTGTCTCGACCTCTATTATATCCACTAAATGTAAAGCGCTTCCTTTTAGATGCACTAAACCTCACTCCTCTCTTTATTTCTAATTAATAAAACTTGTAAATTTAGAAAAGTTAAGTTGTTTGAAATACTTTGTTACATGTACAAGTTAATTAATTATATTCTCGGTCTTCAGTTTTTAGTTTAATTGTGTTTTAGAAAGTATAAACAAATCATGCATTATACATTTTCACAGGAGCTGAACGCAAAGAAGTACAGACCTAAAGCAGAGAGGTTTCTGTTTCTTGAAAAATAAAAAGCCAGTAGGTGGCCTCAGCTATATATTGGCAGAAATCTTACTCTATCAAGGGTCACGTGGCTCAGTGCAGAGTGAAAATTCAGCTATACTAAGTAGCTAAATAGAGTTTATTTATACAGTGCTTTTTTTTTACATTAAATATAATTTTAGCTGAAAAAAATGGAATAGTTTAACTTGCTACTTTACTGGACTATATGCACATTTGTTTGCGTATATGCAACCACGGTCTAAAAGTCACCCGTATCCTTTTCTGTAAAAACCAGTCTGTGTTGCTAAGAAATGAGCACTTGTGTCCAACTTTCTTAGCAAAGCGCTTGTGTCCCAGCTCTGTGTGGAGCGCTGAAGACAGCTACCATTTACTCCTTTGGCCTCAGAGGTCTTAGGTTATGTCCGTAACTTTTCATAACCCTATAATGCCAATATATCATATTTGATACATACAGTTTCTAAAATGTTGTACATTATTCAGTGGAAAAAGCTTTGCTCCAGACCCTGTCGGACACAGTCAGACAGACCTGAGAACCGTGGCAGAAGACTACACCACAATAGTTTTCACATATCACACGCTAAGAAATCAGGAATAATCTAATTGATTTCTGTTTTTTTTCAGATTTTGTATATAAGGACTTTAAACAAACAATTCTCTATTTTTTTCTGGATCAAGCGTTAAAGGGCCAACTGTTTGTTTAAGAGGATACTCAAGTTAACTCAAGTTATTTCTTGGGTAAAAAAGTCTGGATCTCTAGTTTTTCTTTGTCTATTTTTCTCCAAATTCAAATCTTGTTGTCGGGCTTTTCTGTTCTTTGTGAACATGCTGTGAATGCCCTCCTTGTTGAGCTAACAGATATTTCAGTCTGTAGGTGGTGCTTCATAGATTCAAAGTCCAAATCCTTCTGAAACAACTCTAAAACACATTTTAGTGATGACCATAAAGGGCCGAGGGTCCATGTTACCAAGGGTGGAGCTTTGTGTTGCTCCTTAAGTATTATCTTGCAGTACATCCAAGCCAATTTGAGTTTTGATCAGCTCAGAGCACAACACTCATTTTGGGATGGGCTCAAAGACACACTGTGTGAGGGGCTTTTAGCTGCTCATTTGCTTAAAGACAAAAGGAGGAGCTAACTCTTCCACTGACAGATAGATAACGTCAGTCTGACCACTGGAAGGAGCCAGATCGATCTATTGATTTAAAGAGACAAATGAAACAAGACGGAGGAAAATGGACAAGCACACACAGATACACTTACCTTCTGCCACAGAGACTCTCTGGAGGCCAGGCTGGAGCAGGCCGCCACAAACCAGCAGTTCCCCAGCTGGCCCTGGTGCAGGTCGTGTGCGCTGATGCCGTCCACAAACAGGTGAGGGTCCTCACACAGCTCCTGCCCCAGAAAGCACACAATCAACACAACGGCAAAGGCTGAACAGCGCAGGCAGCGGGTTCCCGAAGAATCCCACTTCCTGCAGCTTCTCTTTTCAGGTCCATTTGAGCCACATCCACACAGAGACAACAGCAGGCTCTGTGTGGGACACGGAGAGAAAGCCACTGGGCTCTAACTTTGTGACTACACAAAAGGGCCCTCTCTGTTGCAAATCAATCAGAATTAAAAAGTACAATAAAGTCAAGCATTTAATAAGGTGCCATCAAAAGCTACCGGTCTGCACCAACAGAGAGCTCAAACAGAGCTGACGTCAGTTCTGAACCGTTGGTGTCTGGGCAGCTGCTGGACCTTAATGCACACACAAACCATTTCTGATATCACAGGAAAAACTGCTCCCATCGTTATGTCCCAGAACCTCCACATCTGTTCCACATCTGTTCCACATCTGTGATCGAAGCACAGAGTGTGGAGCACTAAACGTCCGCATGCATGGATCTTACCATGTATATAAAGATAATAAATAAGAAGATCGCTCTAAAAACAGAGAGAACAAAAGAATATTTTCCTGTGGGGATAACCTCTGCCAGTGCACGTGTTTTTCCTCTCATACAGCTGAGTATAGGAGGATTTCGGTCTCCATCCTGTGAGCAGAGAGCATGTAAAGAGCAATGGGGATTAAACTAAATAAAAACACTGCAACCAGTTCATACCACTCTCTCTCCTCCTCAGACACAGTTCCACCCCCAGAACTGCAGCCCAGGCCAGGCTCCAGTCCTGCAACCCTGAAGAAGCAGCTACACAAACTGGATGGATGCCGACCTGAAGTGTACAGCATGTGTGCTGGATGAACCCCCCCCCCCCCCCCCCCCCCCCAACAGAAAAAATGAAAATGCACCCCCCCAACATGAATAATGTAAATGCTCCCCCCCCCAACATGAATAATGTAAATGCCTGTACACAACCCAGGACTATACACATGCCACAGGACACAGGACACGGCCAAGGGCCACCGGCCATTAGCTGACTCTGCTAAATCAAACTGTTAATCACAGGCCCCTGTACCACTGCACACACCAGACCAGACCAGACCAGACCAGACCAGACCAGACCAGACCAGACCAGACCAGC